CCCCTATCAGGGATTTGTGTATGAGGATGACGGTGATCACTCCTTTGTTGGAGCGGATCAAGGAGGCTCAGATGGAGGGTCTCAAGGAGGAGAGGCAGAAGTGCGAGAGGATAGTGGGCCGAGTAGCTTCGTTTGATTACGACAGTCGGGGTTTGATGACGCTTCATGGTAGGGTGTGGGTACCGTACTGGGGTGGGGTACGGCAGGTATTGATGGACGAGGCTCATAAGTCTCGATTTTCTATCCACCCAGGGGCGACGAAGATGTATCGAGATCTTCGACCTGATTATTGGTGGCCCTGCATGAAGCGGGACGTCGCTTGGTACGTTGAGAGATGCTTGACCTGCCGGAAGGTCAAGGCGGAGCACCAGAGACCTCACGGCAAGATGCAGCCGTTGGATATTCCCGTGTGGAAATGGGAGGATATCACCATGGATTTTATCACCAAACTTCCCAGGACCGCACGTGGAGTGGATTCGATATGGGTAGTGGTGGATCGGTTGACGAAGAGTGCCCATTTTATTCCGATCCAGGAGAGTATATCGGCGGAAAAGTTAGCCGATATCTATGTGCGAGAGATTGTGGCACGTCATGGAGTGCCGGTATCGGTGGTGTCGGACCGGGATGTTCGCTTCACATCCAGATTCTGGAAGCGATTCCACGACGAGATGGGTACTCGTCTCCATTTCAGCACCGCTTTTCATCCTCAGACTGACGGGCAGAGCGAGAGGACGATTCAGACTCTCGAGGACATGCTTAGGGCATGTGTTCTAGATTTTGGGGGCAGTTGGGATACGTATCTTCCCTTAGCGGAATTCTCGTATAACAACAGCTATCACGCGAGCATTGATCGACCTCCTTTTGAGATGTTATATGGCAGGAGGTGCAGGACCCCGATTTGTTGGGGCGAGGTCGGTCAGCGGGTCATGGGGAGCACCGAAGTGGTGCTCAAGACGACGGAATTGATCCAGCAGGTCCGTAGTAGACTGCAGACTGCGCAGAGTCGGCAGAAGAGCTACGCCGATAGGAGGCGTTCAGACTTGGAGTTCCAGGTGGGAGACATGGTTCTTCTAAAGTCTCACCTTGGAAAGGTGTCATCAGGTTCCGGAAGAGGGGCAAATTGGGCCCCAGATTTATTGGTCCTTTCAGGGTTTTGGCCCGGGTGGGTCGGGTTGCTTACCGGTTAGATCTTCCTGAGGAGCTCAGTTTGATACACAACACCTTCCACGTGTCGCAGTTGAGGAAGTGTTTAGTGGACGAGACAGCAGTCGTTCCCTTGGAGGACATACAGGTTGATAGCGGCCTGAATTATATCGAGAAGCCGATAGCAATTTTGGAACGGAAGACCAAGACCTTGAGGAACAAGGTAATTCAGCTGGTAAAGGTGCAGTGGCAGCACCGGAAGGGGTCTGAATGGACATGGGAGGCTGAAGAAGAAATGAGAACGCACTACCCGGAGTTATTCGCAGATCCAGCCGTAGCAGACTTCGAGGACGAAGTCTGAGTCAAGTGGGGGAGAATTGTAACGACTCGTTTCCGGTATGTTAATTAATTGTTAATGGTCTAAGTCTTCAAGAGGGACTCGGCGAGTTCTAGCCTGACTCGCCGAGTTGGGTCGCGCATTTTGTGCACGCGGGAGCCGGCGACTCGGCGAGTCCGTCCGTCTGGGTGAAACCCTAAATCCCCGGGTTTGCTCACTATTTAAACCCCATTATAGCCTCATTCTCGCCACTTTCACCCTGAGAGCTCTGTGAGAAACCCTAACCCTTCCATTTGAGAGCTTATAAGTGATTTAGTTCCATTTTGTGAAGGTGTGAAGAAGGAGAAGAAGAAGGAAGCAAGGAAACGAGTTGTAGTGCAAAGATCCAAGGTCAAATCTGAGCTTATTGAGGTATTTTCGGAGTTCCCTTCTGGTTACATGCTTAAACTTCCATTAGAGCTCTTTTAAGGGCTATTTGATGTTGTTCCAAGCCTTATGTTTGCATGAATGTGTTAATAAGTCGAAATACCTTTGGATCTGAGTGTTGGGGTGTTGTAGAGCCCAGATCTACTGTCTTTTTGGAGCTACATTGCATATTAGCCATGGATCTACTCTTGTTGTGCATCTTTTAGTCTTATTTCCCTTATTCATGAGGTTGTGCACGTAAAGTTGGAAACTTTACGTGGTAACACAGCTTATTGGACCTAGATCTATCATTTGCATGTGTTGGATTCAAGAGAAATCGAGTAAAAATATGTTGCATGGCGGCGACTCGGCGAGTCGGAAGAACGACTCGACGAGTCGGGTCGCGAGTCCTGAGTTCTTCAGTTTTATCAGTGTCGAGTGGACGAGGCGAGTTAGGGAGTGGACTCAGCGAGTTGAGAGTAGACTCAGTAATGGAGGGACTCGGCGAGTTTGTTCATACAACTCGGCGAGTCCAAGGCAATCTTCTTGGGGATCAAGAACAACTCGTCGAGTCTGTTCATCCGACTCGGCGAGTCGGATGAAGATCATCTGAGTTCTTGGATCCAGAGGGTACTCGTCGAGTCGATGCCACACTCGACGAGTACCAGCGTGTAAGAGTTGAGAGGAAAGTCTAGGACTCGGCGAGTTGGGTATCCCGACTCGGCGAGTCAGCCCTGAGTAAGTTGACTTTGACCAAGGGTAAAAGAGTCATTTTACCCCGAGTGTAGTGTTAGTGATTGATTGAATGTGTTTATGGATTTGTAGCCGAGGAGATTCAGGAGCAGCAGCCGCTAGCTTACGAGGTGAGTTTCCTTCCAGTAGGGACGGGTCTAAGGCCACAATGCCGGCCCGTTCAGTTAGTAGTAGTTCCGGACTTCGATCCATGTAGTAGTTAGTATGTTTGATGCCTTCGTGGTTCAGACATAATTTATGCGCTATGTGTATGTGTTTATGTTCCGGGCTACGGCCCGATGCAGTATGCAGTATAATTGTTATGATATGCTATACTATGCTCAGTCAGTTCCGGACCTCGATCCGATGCAGGGGACACGGTCCCAGTCGGTTCCGGACTTCGGTCCGATGCAGTCAGTTCCGGACTTCGGTCCGATGCAGTTTCCGGGCCCCGGCCCGATGCAGTGGGCAAGGCCCAATATGTGTTTATATGCTTTGTATGGTATGTGGTAATTTGGGGGAGCTCACTAAGCTTCGTGCTTACAGTTTCAGTTTTGGTTTCAGGTACTTCCGCAAGCAAAAGGAAGAGCTCGGGGTGACGGCATTGCACACACCACCGCCTCAGCTTTAGTCTGGGATTGATTTAGTTGTTGATTTGATGTAGTATGATACAGTTTCCGCACAGTACTTTATTATATTTTGGGACATATCACGCATGGTTTATTTATATGATACTCTGATTATAGTTTTGATTATATTAAAAACAAAAAATTTTGGGTCGTATTTTTGGTCGTTTCAGTAATATTGAAATATTGGAGACCATGTGGTATTGATGTCTGACAAACTTAAGCATTAAGCTCCAAAATCCTGCACCACCCAAACTTAAGCATTAAGCTCCAAAATCCAATCCAACAAATTCAAAAAAAAAAAATTAAGAGACATACTAACATCAACAAGACCCTCTTGGATAAGCAATTCAGAAAGCTCATCTCCTTTGTTATTGTTGTTCACACGAGCAGCAGCTTCAACCACAGATGAGAACACTACATATGGCGACTCGTGGTGTTCGATCTTCTTAGCCAAATCCCGCAGGTTCAACTACAAACAAAACACATCAGTTTCAGTTTCAAATACGTCATTTGTCATTTTTACGAAACTTTTCAAACAAACCTGAGGAGCACTCGAACTATCATTTATGCTTCTAGGTTGAAGCGGTGGTTGTTGAGGCATGTTTAAACCAGATCCCCCACCACCAAAAGTTTGGGCAAAAATCGGCATCATCTGTTGTTTCATACCCGACAGATCAAAACCACCACCGCCACCACCACCACCCATACCGAAAAACATGTTGCTCAGATCTTGATTCCCATCAATCTGTTGAGCAATTTGATTTATCGTGTTCATCATTGCAGGGTTCTGAGTTAGTTGACCCAACATGTTCCTCAATACATCCGGTAGAGTAAAAATGTTGAGCATTTATTTTAATGTATAATCATTTGGCATTTGTAGGTACAAGCTGTTTAGTCAAGCATTTGCATGTGATAGGACTTAAGAGTGTCAATTTGCGTTCCAATAGAGTAAAAATGAGAGTTTATTATTTATGATTTGTTTTTTATTTTTTGTTTACAGGGCTCTGCATTTAAATGTGAACAAACTCACGGAGGAGTTGGGCAACGAAAAGAGATGATTGATTCAACAAAGGTAGAAGACATAAAGAACGAAACGTGAGACCTGCTTTTGTTTATCTTCAATGAATATTACAGAAAAATTGAACTTAAAGAAAATCCCAAGGTTATTTCAGGCCCTGTAATTATATTATTAGTTCTATTTCTAGGAATTAATGAAAATATCAATTCATGATTCCATTTCAGATAATGAAATTGGCTACACATTTAATGATGGTCCAAAAGCATGGATATTTCAAAGGGAAAGTTGGTAAATTCAACAAAGACTTAGTGCAGTCCACCTTAGCGTTCAAGGTGGTGAGAGTTGGGACTTGACAGCTTTGAAGCTATGATATCACATAAAGAGACCTAAAGCAATATTTGTTATAAAAATAAAGTATTTGATTTGGTGGAGAATTTGTATAAAGGGGATAATTATCCAAATGCTTTTGAATATTTAGTTTCTCTTCAAAGGGGTCTATCATTTAGCAGGTAAGGTTTTTTTTTTTTTTTTTTTTTTTTTTTTTTTTTTTTTTTTTGTTTTAATTAAATCTTGAATACAACTTTCATATTTAGTTAATCACAATATTGTGTTACTAAATATGTTGTACATGAACTAAATCAATTCAAGAATTTCCTAGGCCATCTTTATTGATTCAGTAAGGTAAGTATATTGCTATTTGATTACTTTATTTGTATTCACATATCTTACTTTTTTGTTATGATTTTGCGATGATTGCTCCCCATGCATGAGGAGATGTTCTTATTTTGTGTTCAAAGACGATGTAATCACCAATCCCGGTTTGGCTTGAAACTCCAGACAAGAGACCATCAAGTGCAGGATTTGCCACCATCTGACTCATGATTGCAGTAGGATCCATCTGGCCAGCTGGACTAGAAGTAGGCGACGCATTAACAGGAGGCACAGGGGCATTACTAGTAGTAATCACTTCTGGTTTTGTCTGCCGACTTCATCTCTAATATCACATCACATTCATAGAACAAGTCAAACAATGGTATATTGGTCATTTTTAAAAAAATATGGAACAAGTGCACACACCTTGGGTTGTAAACCTCCTATCCCAAGTCAAATAGGAACGGTTGGAGCATTTGTTGAGTTATCATTGGCTGGAGTTGATGATGAAGTAGAAGCATCATTTTGAACCTCACTTGCAGACTTTGTTGCACTGCTACTGGTAATGGCAATGGTGTTTCAGCACCTTCTATATCCTGCTCCATAGTCAATACTAGATTAGTGGCATTCTTGTAATTATAAAGTCGATAAAAAAATTGAAAACATACCGTTCTAGTCTCAGATTCAGACACACTTCCATCTAGTTGGCCTGGATGTACAAATATCAAACTTTACACAAATCATTTAGAAAAAAACACCAATTAAACATGTTACGCATATGACGTAAGAAACATGTGTAATAGATGAATTTTGATAGGTTGATGTGGTAATATTTTGGATTTTCTATTATCCAAATATAATTTTCTAATTTTTCTCATCGCTTTCACGTTTTATAGATTTTGTAGTATTATTTGAACCTGTAAAATAGTAGAAAACAATTTAAAGTCATATTTTATGATATAAAGTTAAATATATTTAATTTTTATTTTATTTAATTTTATTTTTTAAATAATAAATAAATAAAACATATAATCAATGCAAAATAAATTAAGAAAATTACCGCATTGGGTACAATGAATAAAAATGTATAGTAGGTGTACGGTGAGATGATGATGTTGTATATTGTTTTTTGGATTTTTTTTTTTTATTCAAATATGACTTTCTGTTTTTACTTCTCTTTCTAGCGTCTGTTGCATTCATGTCATTGTTTGGTATGTAATGATAGTAATAGAATACAGTTAAAAAGAAAATTAATAATTTGAAACTAACTATTACAGACGACTGGTAGGTCATGTAATATGTATAAACTTGAATACATGAATTGATTAATAATGTGTAGCAAAAAAAACCGGATCCGGAAGACCGGAACCGGTTAGAGTTTTTATGGGATGATCATATTAACGGGTTGGAATCATCTATTCATTTACCAAATATTAAATCTGGTTAGAAAATCCCATTTTGGACCAAGCGGTTAATTTAAAAAAATAATAATAATTTATAAAAACAACCAATAAAAGGGTTAGATTACTCAATTTCGTTGGTGTATGTGTGTGTATGTATGTGTTATATATATTTACCCTAATAAATAAGAATGATTTTGCCACTTGTCATTTTCACATTCAATTGGCCACATGTCATTTTATCATAATTTTGAGATATATTTATTTTCCACTTGTCATTTACTTCATTTTTCATTTCCAATATATCATTAATTTAGTTTCCATAAATTAAACACTATTAATTTCAAATTTCAAATTCTAAATTTTAATTTCAATTTCAAATAAATTTAAAGTTTAAACCTTTGTGTTTAACATTTTGTTATAATTTATCCATTTGGTATACAAATCTAATAACTAAACACATAATTTTAATTTATTTATTTTTTGCATGTTTTTTTCTCATAATTTTCAGTTATTTTAAATTTCAAATTCAAATAAAATTTTCATCTAATCGTTTATATTAACATTTTGTTTTAATTAACCCGTATAATATACGGGTCTCACAATTAAATATATATATATATATATATATATATATATATATATATATATATATATATATATATATATATATATATATATATATATATAACATGATTTCAACAAAATAAAAGAATGGAATCAGTTGTATTTTTTTTAAAATATGGGGACTAAATAAAAACTTTCTCTTGATGGAAAATAGATAACTGAAAAGGAACATACCTTCAGACGATGGATGCCCTTGTGCAGAATCGGAAGAACAGTGGTCGAAGGAGGTTCGATTTCCTGCGATTACAGAATGAAAGCGGGGAACTTTTGGCTAATATTGAACCAATGAAAGGCTTCTTAGCATGCGATTTCAACAGGTTAAAAAATTAGGGCTTTTTTTAGATTAAGATGCAAATTGCTTGAAATCAGGCGGAATACTTTCTCCTTATTCAATTATGAGGTCATAACACTTCTTTATGTATGTGTAAAAATAAATCCTAAATATCTCTCTAAAAATTTTTAGTTCCCGCTAGTGTAATTTCATTTTTGGGTTTCAAACTTCCCGCTTGTGTAATTCAATTTTTAAAGGGGATAAGGAGAAGAGTCTGATGTGATTAGGGATGATATACGTTTTTTTGTTTGATATTAGATACAAATTTTTCTATTTTGTGAATTAGTCACTAATCTGTTAGTTTTAATTTTGCTCAAAAGAGAGATGTGTGTATGAAAATTGCGAAGGGTAGAAACTTTGCTAAATCTGAGTAAATTCATGAATGCCATCAATTCTGAATTCACTGTTTGACCAAAAGTAAACAACCTTTATGTTTTTTTAAAAACTTTTTTAGGGGGTAGTATAATAGAAACAATTAACGACGTGGTTCTCTACATACCTTCAACACCCTTTTTCTCAATCTTCAAAATACCCAAAACCCATTTTGGCTCCAAATCAATGATTTGACCAAAAGTCAACATCTTTATATGTATTTTTTTAATCCTTTTGCTTACATGTCAACTTCTATTCCAAGGCATAAAAGTGGCGCGTGTCTTCAAATGGAGCCAGTGACATGGTATACATTTAATCATTTCTACTCCAATGGATCGATTTTCAATATTCATGTTTCCTTCAAACATGTCTAAATTTCTGTTACATGGTTGTACACAAGGTTAGTATCATAAATAAACAAGAAAACAATGAAGAAAATGTGTTTATAATAACATCCGTTGGTTTGTCTACCTTTTAGCTCTTGCCAGATGAGAAACCAAAACTTACTTCACTTGGGAGAAAGGAAACCATTAGAATTTTACCAATTTACATGTATTTTTTAATCCTTTTCCAGAAGTTCTTACTGTAAAATTACCTATTTACCCAGGTTGTTAATATGAAAAAACATTGAAATTGATTTGTAGTCAACATGACCTTCTTCATTATTGGAGGGTAGTTTGGACTTTTGATAAATAGTCAGGATCTCATAATTATTGAAGGTTATTTTGGACATTTGGAGAGAACACTATCTGTATGTATTTCATATTATAAGAGAAGACTAAGAGGGTGTTTGTTTTTTCTCTGCAGGTCTGCGTGACCTTTTCTGTCTGCGAGGCGCAGACCACGCGCAGACATAATGGTTTGCAGTCTGTTTGTTTTTCTGAAGTGCGCAGACATAAAAACGTCTGCGCGAGGTCTTCACCACACAGATATGGGATAGCATCTTCTAAAGTCTGCAAGCCCTTTAACCTAAAAAAAACGCGTCTTTTTTTTTTTTTTTGCTTCCGCCTCCAGTCCTCGTCCAACCCTCCCAGAAAAAACCCTCGATCGATCGATCGTACTCCACCTTGCAGCGACCACCACCGTCGCAACCCTCCTCTCCGATCAAAACCATCGATCACCGCCTTCCTCTCCGATCCGGCGTCCTCCGATTTTCCGACCATCACAGTCGATTGCAGCAGCCGGCGAACAACAAGGTCACAGCGACAGCTTCAACTAGCGACCAAGCGACGACTCCTCCCCTGCTCGCCGCCGTTAACCAGCGCCTCCCCTGTGAAGCCACCGCCCGGAGACCGTCGCCCCCACAGCTACACCGGAGACTTCGACCTCACAGCTACAGGTTCGTTTTTTTTTTTTTTTTCCTGCTGTCAATCTTCCTTCTTCTCCCGACTTTCTGTTATTCCCTTCTTATCCGTTGCATTGAAGCTATAGTTCAGAATTTATGTTAATTGATGCATAACTCATAAAAGAGTTGTAAAATAAAAACATTTGTAATGAAAGTAATTTATCTTTGAATGTGAAATTGGATTTGATTTTGAATGAAATACCGAGATGTTAAACCTGTAACATCTCTAGCTTGGTCTGTTTGATCGAAAAAGTCCAATTGTGTATGTGTTTGTGCTTCAATTAGCAATTGAACCTGGATGTTAAACCTGTAACAGTAGCACCCAAATTTTCTGTTTAATTCTGTTATTGTCAAGCCTGGGAATGCCTCTTGTTGTTTTGAATGATGTTCTTATGATGCTTATATGATACCTTGAATGTAATTTAGGTTATGTACACCAACAATGTTAAATTTCCACTCACCCATATTATCAACAATGCTTATAATTAGAATTGATTGTATTACTTAAATATACAGTAATTCAAAGTTGTATATATATATATATATATATATATATATATATATATATATATATATATATATATATATATATATATATATATATGATTATTGATTGTGTATATTTATATGATAGTGTATATGTATATGATTGTTGATTTTGTATGTATATGATAGAAAGCATCAAAAAGAGACATAAGTTTTGTTTATTTGATAGAAGTAAAGTTTTTGTCGTTAAAGTGAAGTTTATTTGATTTATAAAGTTTTTTAGAAAACTTTGAATTAAAACACTCTAATTGAGGTTATTTATAATTGAATAAAAAGTTTCACATTATTGTGATTGAAAATAAAACAAAATTACAAATTTGTTGTGAAAATAAAAACTTTTTCTTGAAATAATGATGTTACTTGTTCACTGTTTATTGTTATTTGGTTATTAGAGATGGGAGAAAAACAACAATGGACCAATGAGCACTTAAAATGCTTATTGGATACTTGTATTGAAGAAGTAGTTAGAGGTCCTTCAGTTAGGTCCTTCAGTTAGGCCCTATAGATCCTTTACGCTTTGTCGCATATCATATTTTTGGAGGAACCATGAACATGAGAGAGATGTGGATGCATTTGCCCGTTGTTCCCGAGATATTACGAGGGTGGCTTGAGATGACGGGTACCAGTTTAGGAGTTTTGAAGGATGGGAAGATTGTTCGATGATTTTTAAGTGTTAAAAGTATTTGTTATGTCTTTTTGCCCTTGTTGGAACTACTTTGTTAAATGTTTTTGCCTTTGTTGGAACTATTTTGTTAGGACTTTTTGCCCTTGTTGGAACTACTTTGTTAAATGTTTTTGCCTTTGTTGGAACTATTTTGTTAGGTCTTTTTGCCCTTGTTGGTACTTGAAATATGATTAATGGAATGTTTATTTGATACTTAAAATATGGTTTATGTAATGTTATTTTGGCTTGAAATATGATAAATGGAATGTTTATTTGATACTTGAAATATGGTTTATGTAATGTTTTTTAAAGTTCTACTTTGTTGATTTTAGGTTCAGATGGATCACGATCAAAAGTTACTTCTCGTAATTCTAATGTACCTATACATCCGTTATTTTTGGAAGAGGGGTGAAACGATTGCGGGATAATGATTCGGAAATGACGGGACACGAATACACATTGGAGTTATTACACCGTAATCGTTTACAATGTGTTGAAGTATTACGCATGTCCCGTGAATCTTTTGTACGACTATGTGTTCATTTTAGAGCAAATTACTCATTAAAGGACAGCAAACATGTATCAGTTGAGGAAAAGATGGCTATGTTTTTGATGATGATCGGACATAATCAACGTTACGTGATTATCAAGCGGAGATTTCAACACTCGAAGCAAACAATTCATAATTTTTTTTATGAAGTGTTGGAAAAAATGATGCTTTTCGCACAAGATGTTATAGTACCAACATCTTTTAATCTGAATCCAAACATTTCAGGACATAATAGGAGGCTACGAAGGGTTTTCAAAGGAGCAGTTGGTGCACTTGATGGCACTTTGATACATGCTGTTGTCCCTGCTAAGAAACAAGAGTTATATAGAAGTAGGGGAAAGGGAGATTGCTACCAAAACGTATTGGCAATATGTGACTTCAATATGATTTTTACATTTGTTGTGACCGGGTGGGAAGGGGTAGCGCATGACTCTAGAATATTATCAGAAGCAGTAGCCGATCCACAAGCATCATTCCCGTTTCCACCACCAGGTAATTTTTTGTTTTTTTTTTTAATATTTTCATTTTAATTTGAAAATTGATTAGTGTTTTGCATTTTTTTTTAGACAAATATTATCTTTGCGATGCCGCGTATGCACACACTCGAGGATTTATGGCCCCTTATCGTAATGTGAGGTATTGGCTTGGAGATTTTCGTCAAAGATGTGCATTGACCAATAAAGAAAAATTTAACCATGGACATGCAAAACTTCAGAATGTCATTGAGCGTGCTTTTGGTGTTTTGAAAGCACGCATCCCTATATTGAAGAGGATGGCACCATTCCCTAAATTGGTATTAATGGAAGAATGTCTAAAATATGTTTCATTATGCGTAAAAAAAACATTATCTATGATAAATATCAAAAAATATTACATTTATATTTTACAAAAAAATACTAAACTTCTTTTAGCCTATATATATATATATATATATATATATATATATATATATATATATATATATATATATATATATAGGCTAAAAGAAGTTTAGTATAAACTCGTAAACAATCTTCTATTATATGTGTTTAGGATTATTTTTGGAGTCAAATTGCCATAAAACCTAATGTCATGGGTTACTTTGTTCCACTTTGTATTATATTTAGCTTTTTCTATGTACATTGCATTATGCCTATTGATTTTATAGATGTAATATAATCATCTTTTGTGATTTTGGTAACAGCAAGGAGATATCATAAAAATATGAAGAGTAAATTACTGAAATCGTTCCTGTGGTTTGGTTAAAATTGCACGTTTGGTCCTTAATTTTTTTTTTTTTGCATTCGGATCGTCCTTGTGGTTTGATTTTGTTGCGTTTTTCATCCCTATGGTTTGGTAAAAATTGCATGTTTGGTCCCTAACTTTATGTATGTAAGGGACGAAAAATGAAACAAAATCAAACCACAGGGATGAAAAACGCAACAAAATCAAACCACAGGGACGATCCAAGTGCAAAAAAAGGTTAGGGACCAAACATGCAATTTTGACCAAACCATAAGGACGATTTTAGTAATTTACTCAAATATGAAATATCTTTTTTTTTTGAGAATATTGGTTATGTGATAATTTAAAGAAACAAAAAATAGTAAATTGATAAAACGAAACACAATAAGAGCGTATTGTGAGTTCTATAAAAACAAATGTAACGCCCGTGTTTTTAGACTAGACATTAATATTGACATAATGGTTTAGGTTAACCTTTGTAACTCATTTAGAAGAAATGAAAAGGAATTATGTGAATTATGTGTTTTATGCTTAATTATTAGGGTTTAATTAATTAAACATAAAAATAAGCATCAAAATTAAAGTGTGAGATAAGCCCGATGTCTTTACATAAAGTTGTAGTGGTTGAAACAAGGATTTCGGGGATATAAAGAATACAGAAATCCGAGTTATAACGAAGAAGTTATGACCTGTTGAAGTTTCGCGACAAAACCGACACGGTGCCGAATGTCGTAAAAAGTGAGTTTTTGATAAACTACTTTTTTAGCCTTAGTAATCTAAACGAAATTCGTAGTATTCGTTAAACCGAGAAGTTCGATAAAAAGAACGCCCAAATTTGACTTCGTATGATGAAGTTATGATTTTTCGAAGTTTCAGCTTAGCAGTAGACAGCTAAAAACTCAAATTTTAGATCGAGTGATTTTTAGCCGACACAACCTAAAGAAGAATTGAAGGTATCATCATTAGGAGCACAATGGTAAAAAGTCTGACGAAAACGGACGGCGGATGAAGAAGTTATGAATTTTTAACGGATTTCCTGTCCCGGTCTGTTAAAAATAATAATATAAAAAATAAATTCAAAATTAGCCGACGAAGTCTAAACGGAAGTTGTAGAGAGTAATTTTAGCTACACGTGCATATAAAGAACGTCAAAAACGGGGCTCGTATGCGAAAGTTATGGATTTTAGAAGTTTTTTTCACAAAAATCGAGAAAATTCGCATAGTCACGCTTTTGCCACGTGTCCTCGCCTCGCATATGCCACGTGGCGAAATCTGCTGAGTCACCCTCGCATGAACAGTAGCCACGTGATCCTCGCATGCAACCCACGTGATCCGACCCGCGTGTCGCTTGCTGATTGGATCGAGGGTACGGTCCAATGATCTTCCGACGCCTCGCTTCTGACTCATCATCCGAGCCTCGTTGGCCCAATCCGAAGGCGCCGCGTGTCCTTCGCGTGTCCGAAGCTCGCACCCGCCACCTGTCCTCGCTCCGCGGATGCCACCTGCCCTCGCTGACTCTTCCTTCTCGGCCGAACCCTCGCAGCTCTCCCCTATAAATAGTGGCCTTGCAAGATCTTCCGGCTACTTTTGGAAAATGGCCATTTTTCACCCCTTTTTCAATATTTTAGCCATTTTCGCTTCCCCCGATGCCCTGAGATCATTTCCAACGCCCAGAACACGTCTCGGAGTGCCCGAAGGCCCGGAAAATTTATCTTTTTGGTTTTGAAGCTCGACCTTTCGCAGAGCCCGGTTTCTTAATAAAACTCCTGGTTTTATTAAAAACGATCGTTTTAGGAAACGAATTGCTGCCCAATTATTATCAAATCAAGTGAGTGTATATTCACTTTCAATTTACACATTGATATGAAGTATTTACCTTAAAATACGTGCTACGTGTAAATATATTAATTGTTTATTTGAGGTGACTGTTGTGTTGATATTTTATACAAGTTTTAAACTGTATATATATATATATATATATATATATATATATATATATATATATATATATATATATATATTTACAAATATGTTGGGTAGAACATGGGTAGATAGTTGGTGTGTGATAAAATAAAGTGATGAGAGGTATCGATGTTTAAGATGATCTAGTCATCTAACAGAGTATAGACAACGACCACAGACTATTTTAGATAGTCCAGTGGAACGTTAGTAGACTCGTAATCGGTACGTATGTTTGAACTATATGTTCATAAAGTGTTCTTGAACTATATGTTCCTTAGGTGTTTTTGAACTATTTGTTCATCCGTTAATTCTTCTTTTTGATACTATTACGTGTCAGGGTACGAGAGCGTATGGGAGTACTTTATTAGTATTTTCCCAATGCTTTTATTCTGAAGAGATTTGGAGTCTTTGTTTCTTTTGTGAAGTGATCGGACGAGCTTCATGAGTCAGTGTTTTCCTTTCCGATGCCGGATAAGGGTGAGTCTGGGGGTTCAGACCACAGCCTAGGCATTAGTCAGTGTTTTCCTTTCCGATGCCGGATAGGGGTGAGTCTGGGGGTTCAGACTACAGCCTAGGCATTAGTCAGTGTTTTCCTTTCCGATGCCGGATAGGGGTGAGTCTGGGGGTTATATACCTCACGATATTCAGACCACAGCCTAGGCAAAGTTCGATGCTGGATAGGGTGCATCTGGGGGTTATATACCTCACGATATTCAGACCACAACCTAGGCATTAGTTAGTGTTTACATTGTCGGATAGGGTGCGTCTGGGGGTTATATACCTCACGATATTCAGACCACAGCCTAGGCAAAGTTCGATGCTGGATAGGGTGCGTCTGGGGGTTATATACCTCACGATATTCAAACCACAGCCTAGGCATTGATAAATACCCCTGACTTAATTGTCTTGTGGTTCTTTCTTTTATGAACAAAGGTGCGTAGTTAAACTTAGTCCATTCATTCAATATCTTTATCAATCCTTGTTTACTGCTAGAGGATTTCTGAAGTAGTTTCGTAGTTAGTTGTTCATATCGATCCTTTAGGCTAGATCTAGTAAGATCACTGTATAAAGTTAGTATGTGGGGATCAATGTTGTTAGTTCCTGTTAAGTAAACTTTGGTGATGATCTGACTTCGTGCCTATTAGGTAAACCCTGGTGACTATGAGACGTAGTGCCTATTGGATAAATCTTGGCGACGATGTGACTTCGTGCCTATTTGACATAAATTGTTGTAGGAAAACAATGTTGTCACCCCTAATGAAAATCCTTAGGCTAGGTCCCTTGTGATAGTTGTTTTAGGGACGTAAGGTGAGGATAACGGGAATGGGTAATTGGGGTAATTTGGTTGACTGATTGATGTTTAAACATAATAAATTTATGTATTGTGGGTTGAAAACCCTATATGCTCACCAGGCTTCCAAGTCTGACCCACTCAGCTTTTTATGATTACAGGTAGTGGACCCCGAGCATAGTCGGATGATGATGATGAGTGATTTTGGATTATAGGCCATTAGTTATAAATAACTGTTGTAAGGCTTATAAGGTCTTGTTTCTGCTTTTGATCTGTATCGGAACATGACATCCCGAGGTTTTATTATGAAATAAAAAAATATATTTCTTAAAGCAAGGTTTTGATAAATTTTTATCATGTTTGACTTTGGGAACAAATTCCGTAACACTTTTAATGAAATGATTACTCTGATTTTATTTTAAAAAGCATAAACGAAATCGGTCTTTTCTGGCCGTGAAATTGGGGATGTCACAACAAATATATTAAAGAAACAAATTGCATGTACAACCCTAGAGTAGGATTTTTAATATACCAAAAAAATAGATTAAACAACTAATAGCATTAACAAACACTTTTTTTATAAGAGCAAAATGTGAAAAAATAATGTATAATCCATAATTTAGGTAAGAAACCACTAAAACAAACAATGATGTTTAACTATTGTTTCCACCTTTCAAACCAAGATCTTAAACAACCAACATGAAAAATAAAATTGTTGTTTACAAGTCTAAAGAAACAAACTTTTTCAAACTTGCTATTAAAATTAAAACTCAGCAAATGTTTTCTAATGTAACATTCACAATTTCTTTACTGTGTTTCAAAACCTATGCATTAGTCTTGAACTGAAACTTATGTATGAAAATCATCATGCTTACTAACTTGATTAAATTGAATGAGTGTATTTGTATTCGAAGATGAATCAGTGGGATCGTCTCCACCAAAACTAATTTTATAAGAAAAATAACTAATATTAGTCACATAAAGGGTAATTATAGAAATAAAATGATAAAACATAAATTACCTTTTCTTGAAAACATGATTCATCAATATCGGTGTTAATGAAAAGCTTTGTCATGGAAAACTATGTGTTAACTGTGGGATGATCTAAAAAAACTATACAAGTGTTATTTAAATTATTATAAAATAAAATATAATAAGAAAATTAATTAGCTCTCCAAACTTTAAGCATCAATGTTATTTAAATTATTATAAAATAAAATATAACAAGAAAATTAATTAACTCTCCAAACTTTAAGCATCACAAATTGAAGGATGCCAATGATTCGAAGACCGTGTGGATTGTTATCAATAAATTCTTGCATTTTGTAAGCATAATGACCCACAAAGGGACATGAATTTGTAAACCACTGGAAAATAAATTATTAAATTAATTGATATACATACATACATACATACATATATATATATATATATATATATATATATATATATATATATATATATATATATATATATATATATTATATATATATATATATATATAGAGGATGGTTCACTTGAGATTAAAAAAAATAGAGATCTTAAGATTCAACCTCAGCCACATATTTCTCATTTGCCTCTCTAATGCACCAGCGTACCGGCAGCAACGGAGTATGCCTAATTATCAATGATTATATGGCAGAGAGGTATAATCATATAGGATTATACATGTTTATACGTATGTGCCTAATCATAAATTATTATACATATAAGTCTATTCAC